TTTTCTTAAAAATCTTTTGAATGTTCCACCAAATCTTAATCCAGAAAGCTTTTATATTTCTACAAGTCCACCAGATATGGAAATAAGTAGCGTCTAAACTACCGCATCTCCAACATTTAGGCTGTAAATTAGGATACATACAAGACAACTTTTTAGGATCCAGATGCCATCTATAAAACATTTTATAGAAATTTTCTCTAAAACATTTTATAGAAATTTTCTCTTAAGTTCTGGGCCAGGGTAAACTTTACATTTCTGACCCCTGTTAATTCTGCTGTATTTCTGCTCGAAAATTGAGGATTGCAATCTCTCTGTGATTAAAACTTAATGTGCAAGATGAATTTTCCTCGTGCAATTGTAAGTAAAGAACATGGCTTTCCCTCCATCAGCATAATGACGTTTTTGTGGTAAGCAGGTCAGATTTTCTTGAAAGTCTTTAAAATCCTTAGGCTTAAATGAATCTCGTTGGGATTTCTTGTTAGATCTGTTTTATCAAACGACTGTATGGATGTTTGATGTGTAGAACTCTTTTCAGATTCTTTTTTGAGATCAGTCAGGATTATGTTGAAAATAGATGGCTGCTGCTGATCATTGGTGAGACCCCCTTAGACATGCGTTTGGTCAAGACGTTTCTGTGCAGTGAGGAAAACCACTGACTGAATTTTGAAATTAGTGTATTGACTCTATTTCCTAATTCATATGAATTGATCCAACACAAGAAATCAGTTTTATTTATTATTTATGTATTTAGGTTATATTGTTAACTAAATGATATTTCGTTGGCCCAGTGATATTTAAAAGTCTGGGAAGGTAGCTTGTCCCAAATTAACCCAATAACAGAATTTTTTTGGGGAAAAAACCCTTTTGAATAAAGGACAAATTCATATTTGATCAATATTTATTAAACAAGTTAATACATGTTAGTGGTCTGTCAAATCTTGCACCAGCCAATTGATGGAGGAGTCAGGGAGGTGAGAATGAGGGGCAGTGATACACCCTTCTATCTTCCCTTGGGCCACACAATCTACAGGTTTCTGGGAAGTGCTGTTGGAAGGTGCGGTGAGGCTGATGTGGTCACAGATTCTCCAAATTTCACTCCCACGGGAGTCATGGGTTCTGGCATTATGTAACTTAGCCCAGGGGTCTTCAGCCTTGGTCACTTTACGACTTGTGGACTTCAACTCCCAGAATTCTGGGAGTTGAAGTCCACAAGTCGTAAAGTGGCCAAGGTTGGGGACCCCTGACTTAGCCCATTGGCATTACCTTGCTTCAATCACTGTTGCTCTATACCCTCCAATTTCGCCCAGTTGAAAGTTACAAACTGACACGAGAGTTTTAGTACCGTAGTATATATAGAAGAGAATTACCTGTAGCTCGTAATTGAATTGTGGAATCCTTGGTGCTCTCTGTGCTCTCTGTCCTGACCCAACTCTGTAACATCAACAGTGGATGGGATAATAAAGCAAAGAAATATTGGAGTAGGATTCATATTTTAATGCAGAAAATTTTTAAAGTGAACATAAAGATTAAACCAGAAACTTTCCTTCTGGGTCTAATGGGAAAAAAAGACTTGGGGGAAAAAAATTGGAACTCTGATTTTATATATGGTGAGAGCAACAAGACTACTCTGTGCACAAAAATGGAAAGATGTTTCGATTACCACCCTGGATGAACGGCTACAAAAGCAGATGGAATTAGCAGAGATGGCTAAATTGACTGTTTTGATAAAAGAAAAGAATATAAGTACTTTTGTTTCTACTTGGAAACCGCTTCTGGACTTTGTGCTTGAGGAGGAAAAAAAATGATCGCTATGATTTTGGGTTTTCCTTATTAGATTGATTTCTTGATATAGAAATGGCTAGCCACTAGCTCATACTATTACAGAAATGGTAAAAAGTTGAGATACGATGTTAATGCCTTATTTTTACTGCAACAGAAGGAGTTGGAAGTCAATGCCTTTTTTTTTCTTTCTCCCCTTTTTTTCCACACTTCTCTTTTTCCCTTTTCCCTACCATTGTTCCTTACTATTTGCTTTTGTACTTTCGTATTTTATGTTATAAGTGAATAAAAATAATCTAAAACGTAAACAGTGGATGTGATGGTGATGGTGGTGATGATGAAAACACATCGGTAGTGTTTCCTAATTTGGGTCATGAGACATCTGCAAGCAAGCAGCCAAGCTCAGAGAGCATCCAGTTATTATTCAGTACATTCTGTATACCATTGAATACTGAGAGCTATCAGAATGGTTATTGAAGTAATATTTCGAAATATCTTAAAAGGTTAGTTATTAAAACCGACAGAAGGGCTGAGAGCATCAACTGGTGTTGATTAGAAAGGGTGGCACCAGAAAAGCCTTTAGGGAGAATAAAACAAACTTTAACCCTGTGGACTAGCAGCTTTTTACAGGTGGATGAAAGGATGGGCTTAACATGATAATGCTAATAAGCAAGGAGGTTCCCTTTTTAGAGATAAAAATTTTGCAGTTTGCCCTTTTGGGGGATCAGATCCATCCTTTTTCTTTTCTTGAATTGCTGTTGCACAATTCTTTCCCAATTGAAATGGGAATATCTTTTTGGGCCAGAGGTTGGTGATCTTCCGTTGACCCCCTTTCTCATTCCTGTTTGCATCAGTCTAGCAAAGTCTAGCATACCTCAGTAACAAGCCACAAATTGTGGATTCTTGAAATTTCTCTTGTGGTGATTTCACAATAGATAGAACCATACACATTGCTTATTAGAGGCTTTTTCTTTCTTTCTTTCTCTTTCAGAAGAGAATGAAAAACATGAAAAACTCTGCCAGGAGCGTGAACAAGAGCAGAAGAAGGCCAGCGTGCAAAGGGTTAATCACATCACCCAGCCGGAAGAATCCCGCAATGACCTCCAAGCTGGGCCGTTGTCTCCACCCACTCCAGCTCCTCCCCCTCCTCTTCCCCCCTCCCTGGCGGCTCCCATCTCCATCATCCCCATTCCGGTGGTCACCAGCCCCCCTCAGCCAGCCCCCCAAAGTAACTTGTCCCCCCCACTCATCCAGCGGCACTCGCCCCTGGTAAACATGGGCCTCAGCAAGGAGCCCCCGCTGATGGCTCCTGTGATCCAGAAGACTTCGGGGCCCCTTCTTCCTGACATCAAGGCCCTCACGCCCCCTTCGGCCAGCCCCAGCCAGCTGCCCCACTACGCCACCTCTGTCTTGGCCATTTCCCCACATCACATGGCCCAGCCGCCCATCAAGCCCCAGCCGCCCACCCACCAGCCACTCCTCCCTCATCACGTGCCTCCGCCACTCAATGTCAAGGCAAACCCGTCAGAAGAGGGCAAGCCCAACGAGCAGAAGAAGAGACCTGGCGGGTGAGTGGAAGGGCCTGAGTGCAGCTCTGTGTGTTTCAGTACATGTGGTCCTCAACTTACGACCATTCATTTAATGACTGTTTGAAATTATGACAGCCTCGGAAAAAATGACTTACGACCTGCCCTTGCAATTATGACGACGGTACCATCCCTGTGGTCATGTGATCGCAATTTGCATTCGAAACCGCCCTGGATTTATGACCAGTTGCAATATCCTGTGATCCCATAATCACGATTTATGGCTCTGTTTGCTAATTTCAGGCAAAAAAATGCCCACTGAAGAAACTGGATTTGCTTAAGGACAGTGTGATTTGCTTAATGACTGCAATGATTCACTTAATGACCACCACAAACATTGTTGTAAAATTCAGTCCAATTTCACTTACAACTGCAATGATTTTATTGACAGAAATTCCAGTCGTAAAGCGAGGATTACCTGTACTGCAGAACTGAAAAGGGTCTGGTCCCTTCCTTCAGTTGAGTTAAGGGTTGAATGGAAAGGAAGGACGAGAATAAGGGAGAAAGGGGAATATTATTATCATAATCCTTATTGCCATCATCACGATTAATAGCAATCCTGAGTGGTTTGCTCTGCTGTAGCAGACCCGGGGGCTGCATTCACACAGCACCCTCAACCTTGTGGAGTTAATCCATTTCCTGAGCTTGCATAACAAAGTTCAGTGGGCTGTATTCACAGATGTGCTAAGATCCCTTCTGTGTCTTGAAGTGACTAGGCCAGGGATAGGCAATCTTGGCTCTTTTATGACTCGTGGACTTCAACTCCCAGAATTCCTGAGCCAGCATGGAAACCTCTCCCTTTCTCCTCAGAATGGCTGGCTCAGGAATTCTGGGAGTTGAAGTCCACGAGTCATAAAAGAGCCAAGGTTGCCTACCCCTGAACTAGGCTAAGGTGGTTGTGTGCATTGAAAGTAGAAAGATTTGGAGGACAGAATGAGCTATAGGCAATCCTCAACTTTCGACCATTCATTTAGGCACCTAAGATACCGCTAAACAAAGTGATTCATCGACTGCTCCTTGCAGCCTCCCCATGGTCATGTGATCGTGATTGGGTGTTTGGCAACTGGCATGCATTTAAGACAGTTGCACTGTCATGGAGTCACGTGATCACCAGTTGCAACTTTCCCAGCCCACTTCCGACAAGCAGGGGAAGCTGGCAGGGAAGGTCGCAAATAGTGATCACATGATGTCTCCCTTAACTACCATCGCAATACAAGGTCATAAAATCAATGCGGTCACGTGATGCTCCACTTAACGGCTGCACTACTTAAGGATGACTTTTTCAATCCCATTGGGGTCAGGGGCGAGCAGCCAGATCCACACATGATGTAGGGTTCAAGCCAAGCACAGTCATACTTTGGCACTCGCCTGCTTCAAAATTTGTCAAGTTCAGTATGTGACGCATTTTGAAGCAGAAATCTTGTCTCGGCGCTCGTCCTTTTCCTGGCAGTCAACATGCAAGAAAGAACTTGCTGACGTCGGCTGCCTTGTGACGACTCCCTATTACTTCCAGCCGAAATAGCGGGTCACGTGGTAAACCACGTGCTTTTTTTCAGTACCCATTGGGTTTTAATATTCGATGCATCTTCTGAAACGAATTACCGACGAGGATTGAGGTACCATTGTATTACATTCTGCCTATTATACAGGAATCTCCCCAGATTAACCAGTGGAACAACCTGCCTCCAGAAGCGGTGAATGCGCCAACACGAGGTTTTTAAGAAGAAACTGGACAGCCATTTGTCCGAAGCGATATAGGGTTTCCTGCCTGAGCAGGGGGTTGGACTAGATCAGTGTTTCTCAACCTTGACAATTTTAAGGCATGTGGACTTCAACTCCCAGAATTCTGGGAATTCTGGGAGTTGAAGTCCACATGCCTTAAAATTGTCAAGGTTGAGAAACACTGGACTAGATGATCTCCAAGGTCCCTTCCAACTTCATTATTATTATTATTATTATTATTATTATTATTATTATTATTATTATTATTATTATTATTAGCCAGATTGCCACCCATCACCTGGGAACAGATATATAAGGCTTTATGGAGCTTAAGGGGTGGGAGTGGGGGGGGTCAGTTTGGAATCACTTGCAGCTGTGCAAGGATTGGAGGCTAATTCCACGCTTGAGGCCTTCTGACTGGGTCTTTCCCAACAATTGTGATTGTAAGCAAGGACTACTTGTAAGAAGCTGCTTTATCCCATGTTAGAGTACGATAAATTCCCCAGGATGAAGATTTTCCCATGCTTAATTCATTAGGGTCCTTTATCATAGAATAGCCTTGGAGGTCCTCTAGCCCAACCCCCTGCCCAGTGCAGGAATCCTCCTTCCATTCTATATAAATGGCTGCCCAGTCTTTAATATCCAGATAGCCATGGACCAAACACCCATTTGTAGAGAAATGGTCCCAATAGATTCTCAGTATTCAGAACTATCATACCAGTGGCAGAGATTGTACAAGAATGATAATTTGGGTTTGGTGGTTTTCTGCAATTTTTTACTGGCTATTGTGGGAAGCAAACATCTGAACTGGAACAACCAGCTTTCTCCAATCTGGTGCTTTCTAAATTTGCTGGGAATGGAATTCCCCCTTTGTCATAATTGGCAGGGGAATTTTGGGATCTGAAGCCCCAGCTTGTGTAAAGACTCCAATTTGGAGAAGAGCCAGTGATGTGCACATCCAAGCATGCACATATATAGGTAGTCCTCGATTTAGGACCACAATGGAGGCCAAATTTTCTGTTGTTAAGCGAGACATATTTAAAGTGAGTTTTGGCCCATTTTATGACACATCTTGCCACATTTGTTAAGTGAATCACTGCACTTGATAAGTTAGTAACCCGGTTGTAAAGTGAATCTGACTTCCCCATTGGCTTTGCTTGTCAGAAGGTCACAAAAGGTGATCACATGATCTTGGGGCACAGCAACAGTCATAAATATGAACCCATTGCCAAGCTTCTCAATTTTGATCACATGATCATGGGGATGCTGCAAGGGTCGTAACTATGAAAACAGTCATAAGTCACATTTTTTAAGTGCCGTTGTAACTTGGAACAGACATTAAATCGGGTGGTGAAACTGGCGGCCTGCGGGCTGGTATGTCACGCGCAGGCCATGCCCACTTCAGCTCCACAAAGGCAAAAAGCTTCGTGATACGTCACGATACATCACGTGACACGATCGAGTTTGACACCCGTGCACTAAATGAACTGTTGTAACTTGAGGATTACTTGTAATACCTACAGAGATCCTGGGAAATAATCTAAAGTAACAGTTCATGCCAAATCTAATCAGTACATCTGATTCCCTCCAGAATTCCTGAGAAGTTCATTTTGCCTGATGTTTTTTCTGGGGTTCCTAAAATAATCTTGCCTTCTGTGAACACTGTGACATTTCTAGTGTCCTGGATTTTCCTTGTCGGATACAGAGGCTGCAAGGGCTGTGCGTTTCCCTCAGCAGGTTGCCTGCAAATAACAGATGCATTTGTTACCAGGGCAACAAGGATGTGGCGATCGGTGTGCCATGCACATCTTGCGTGTCTGTGGTGTGGGACTGGTTGTGTTTGGCTGGATGAGCAGATAAATTCTAGAATCCTTCTGAATTGCTTCAAGAAGAATTAATGGAGATGTCACAGGCGGTCCTTAACTTACAACCATTCATTTAGTGGTCATTCAAAGTTACAGCGGTACTGAAAAATGTGACTTATAACCGTTTTCCACACTTACGACAGTTGTAGCATCCCCAAGGTCACATGATCAAAATTTGGGTGCTTGGCAACTGGCGTGTAATGATGACAGTTTGTAGTGTCCTGAGGTAACATGATCACCATTTGTAACCTACCCAATCAGCTTTTGGCAAGCCAAATCAGTGAGGGAAGCCATATTTGCTTAACGATTGCATTACAGGAAGTCCTCGACTTACGAACACAATTGAGCCCAAAATTCCTCTTGCTGAGTGAAACACTTGTTAAGTGAATCACTGCAGTTGTTAGTTCAGTCAGACCATTGTTAAGTGAATCTGGCTTCCCCATTGACTTTGCCTGTCGGAAGGTCACAAAAGGTGATCACCTGAGCCCAAGACACTGCGGCTGTCATAAATATGAACCAGTTGCCAGGCATCTGAATTTTGATCATGTGACCATGGGAATGCTGCAATGGTCATAAGTGTAAAAATCTGTCATAAGTCACTTTTTTCCCAGTGCTGTTGTAATTTTGAAAGGTCACTAAATGAACTGTTACAAGTCGAGGACTACCTGTATTTACTTAACAATTGTGGCAAAAGGATCATAAAATGGGGCGCAACTCACTTAACAACCACTTTCCTTAGCAGCGGAAAATTTGGGCTCAATTGTGGTCGTAAGTTGAGGACTACCTACCTGTATATGTACAGACACATACACACCTCTTCCCTTCTTACAAAATAAAAGACTTCCTTTTCACTGCTTTTAACAACACTTTTCAGAGTGTAAAAATTAAGATGCTTTCTCTTCCAGAAATATTCCTAACTTTACAACTTGGATGCTTGGCAGGCCTGTTATTTAATTTGATTTTAGAACAGAAATTTGCGTATATTTATCGTGGTTTTTATTATCACCTGTTCACCGCCCTGAGTCCCGTAAGGGAGATAGGGCGGTATATAAATTCAATAAATAATAATAATAATAATAATAATGCTTTTTCTGATATTTTCCCTCCTTCCTTCCTTTATTTTAGGGTTGGCACCCGAGAAGTCCATAACAAATTGGAGAAGAACAGGTATGTACCTTTTTAAATTCCAAAGCAATCGTCTTACCACATATACTGGAGAAAGTGTGAGTTTTCCAAGAAGTTGTTTTCTGTTTGTTTTTCCAAGCGTAAAAAGTTTTCTGAGAATATTGGTTGTACTTTGTGAATGTGCCTAAAAAAGAAAGTGTTTAGTTAAGGCACCATGCCAAACTGTGATTTGCACTAACCGTGGTTTGCATTTCTCAACAGCCAGTAGGCAAACCAAGATTCTTTACCTCACATCTCTCTCCAAATGTATGCAAAGCAATAGCTGTAAGTGGTTTTCCTACTTACATGCTGTATTGAGTTATGCTATGTGCAAACTAAGTTAGATGCCTTCTTCAAATTATTATTTTTTTGGGGGGGGGGGTGTTGCATGTTGGTTTGGCTTGCTCTCTGTTGGTAGTTCCATTAAGCAGGTTTTAGACGAAACTGATGTGCAAAGCCACTTCCAAGCATGATTTCTGATTTCCTAGCTCAGGGGTAGGCAACCTTGGCTCTTTTATGACTCGTGGACTTCAACTCCCAGAATTCCTGAGCCGGCTGGCTCAGGAATTCTGGGAGTTGAAGTCCACGAGTCATAAAAGAGCCAAGGTTGCCTACCCCATCCTAGCTCCTATAATTGCTTACATAGCCTGGTATTAAAATATCTGCAGAAAAACAATCAAATTCAGAGAAAACTAAGAATCTTACCATTTAACCCTTAGTTAATATATCCTATGACAATTCCTGTATTTGCCCGCAGCAATGCTGACCAGTTATTTTTTCTTCTGTGTTTTTTGCTCTTTTTTATTTAAATACCTTCTCGTTCCGTATCTTAGTTTGATTTGTTGAGTTGATCAATTACAATGCTCGACTTCAACGTATCTTCCCCCAAACCTACATTTTGTCCCCTGCCTGTCATGGCCACATTTTTTCCCCCTTGTTCTGATTTGCTCTGAGATCATCCATGCATGTCCAAAACATCTGCTAACATTTTAAGAATCTCAGCTGAGTAATTTCTAAAATGAGGTCAGCTGACCTAAGCAAATGACTGCAGGTTGGGTAGGCGGCAAAATATTTTGCCTCCGCCCAGAGTCACTTCAAAACGAGATGGGTGGCAAATAAATTTAATAAATAAATACATGCTTTTTATGTGAGGCAATGGAGGAGACGCTAGTTATCTGGAGCGTCTGTTGACTTTGTGCTACTGTAATACAGTGCAGAAGGTCAAATGTACAGGTGTGTGTTACATCTTTGGGTGTGGGATTTTTATTTGTTCTGCTACCACGCCTCCACTGGCTGTGTGGGATGCCTTTGAATGAAACGATTGTGTAAGTTAGCTTGAACAATCTTGAGCATTGCAACTTCTAATTCATTAAGTCTGGATTTAGTCACCTTAAAAAGCATCTGGTGCCTCCTACAAACAACATTAAAAAAAATAATCACCTGAAATTACATGAGGTCATCAAAATCACTGAGACTTCTCTCAGTTTTGCACAAGAATTTCAAGCAAGTTAACTATGTGCACCTGAAATATTGTAAAATTTGAAGAAATTAAAAATACTTTTTAAAAAAAAAATAATTTCAGACGTTCACCGAGATCACCTTAGGGTAATTTTTCTAACCTTGGTCACTTGGAGACATGTGGAGTTCAACTCCCAGAATTCCCTAGCCAGCAAGAATTCCCAGCTAGGGAATTCTGGGAGTTGAAGTCCACACGTCTTTAACACTGAATTAAGGGAACTGAGGGGCTGTGTTGTTGACTCTACTTTAAACCTCACGCCTGATGGTTTCCTCATTTCATGCCAGTTGGCACGTCGTCTTGATCAAAGTTGAGATCAAGTTTGTTCGGCAGGCTGGCTAAATTTGGGGTTTTGTTTCCATAGACGTGCCCACTTGAAAGAATGTTTTGAGACCCTGAAGAAAAACATCCCCAATGTTGACGACAAGAAAACCTCAAACCTTAGCGTCCTAAGGAGTGCCTTGAGATATATCCAGGTAAGGGCTACAACATGGATTATTTTGTTTTTTGACTCTGTTCGGAGATGTGAAGTATACCATTGTGAGCACCAGGTGTTGGTCTCATCCAGACTGATGTATTGGACTTCTGTTCCCAGAATCCCCTTGACCTAGAATAAGGGAAGCTGAAGCTGAGTGGAATGGGGAATGCCAGCTATATGACCCCTCCTCCTTTTTGAAAAATTGAAATGGCATGTGTAGCAAAGGATAATTGAAATTAATATTGTTGTCTTCTGCCAAGAGGGATTTTCCCATTGTCTTTCTATTTCCTGGTAGGTGGAAGGTTCAGGACAAGCAGACAAAGATTTCTTGTTATGTTATATATAACTAATTAAATCATAGTGTGTTGACTGGTGCTATAGGTTTTTTTAGAACATTTTGAACAGGAAAAAAATGTCCTATGTATAATAGGTTAATGTATATGGGAAGAAGTATGTGGTAAAGGAAAAATTAGGTACAGATAGTCCTTGACTTATGATCACAATTGAGCCCAAAATTTCCGTTGCTAAGCAAGGAAGTTGTTAGTTGAATTTTGCCCCATTTTATGACCTTACTTGCCACTGTTGTTAAATGAATCACTGTAGTTGTTAAATTAGTGGCACAGTTGCTTGTTAAGCAAATCTGGCTTCCCCATTAACAGAAGCTCGTAAAAAGTGATCACATGACCCCCGGGATACTGCAACAGTCATAAATACATGCCAGTTGCCAAGTATCCAAAGTTTGATCACATGACCATGGCAATGGTCGTAAGTGTGAAAAATGGCTTTAAGTAATTTCAAATGGTCACTGAAAGAATGGTTGTAAGTTGAGGACTACCTGTAATGAGAGTAGCCTTCCAATGCACGAAGAGATGTCATAGAGCAGAGGAAGTGGGTTTATTTTTCTGAGTAGGAAAAGACGAGTGAAAAAGAATCAATGAGGCGAAGCCTTACAGAG